TTTTTTTGCTTCTGTGTGGGTTTTTTTTTTCCCTCTTCCTTGCCAAGCACCAGTCCAGCACTCAGATTGAAACATCAGCATGTGGGAAGGGGGAGGGATGTTTGTGCCACTCCTTGGCCTCCCAGCCACCGCAGGGACCAAGTGATAGGTCCCCCCATCTGGGGTCAGGAGCCAGCTGGGGGCTGTGGGCAGCAGCGAGCAGCAGCTCCCCAGCACAATCGGATTAGAGCAGACAAAGCGCCCTGAGCAATCTGCCAGCACAGCACGTAGCTTTTCTCTGTTATTAATTTTTTTTTTTTTTCCTTTGCTGGTGTCGACAAAATCCCCAGACAGAAAAAAAAGCAGAAGAAATAGGAGAGGCAGGGAAAAAAAGCAAGGAATGAAATAGCTGTGGGGATTGGAGAGGCCAGTTCATGCCAGGCATCCTCGTGGTCCCAGGTTGGGCATGGGGGTGACCTCACATGCAGGAGAGTTTTGCTTGAGGGAGCAGCAGATGTGTCTGTGGGGTCTCATGCTGGTGGGCACTGCAGGGTTGGGACAGTTTGGGGTGACCCGAAGCTTGCATGGGGCATTTGCAGCTGTGGGGAGAGTGGGGACATGTGAGGGGCAAAGGAGAGGAGAGGGGATCAGGCCCTGGATGACCAATCCTTGTCCAGCTCCGTCCAGGAGCTCCTTCCACCCTGCGAGGTGTGGAGGCTGCTGGTCCAGGCTCTGGTTCCACAGCTGAAGCTGCTCTTCTTTCCTCTGCTGCACAGACCGACTCAGTGGCCAGCGCTCCCACCTCCAAGCCCTCCTCTTCCTCACCACCCCGTGACTCCCTCACGCCAGGCCCCGGGCCCAGCTCGGCCGTCGCTCTCCGGCCACCCCCGGCCAAGGCCCCCAGCACCGACAGCGTCAGTGAGTGTTGGGGACAGCACGGGGGCTGCTCTGCCCTGATGGGACCCTGTCTGCCACCAGCAGAGCTGGCAGGGCTGTTTTGCTCCACAGGATCAGAGCTATGAACCACAGACAACAGGAGCCCCTCTGCCACTGCCACACACCTGACTGCCTGGTGGGCTTGGACCCACCACCACTGCTGAGGGTGGTGGTTGGGGTAGAGCAGGGGTTTTACCTGTTTTTCTCTGGTGAATTGTCATTTTGGTGGGGCTGCACAAAGCTGGGTGCTTCATGGCTTGGCTGTGGGGGCCGGAGGGGGTGGCTGTGCAGTCCCCAGGTGCCCCTCTCCCCCGGGTGCCGCCAGGGCCAAGCCACGGCTCTCTCCTCGTGCAGCTCTCCGCAGCCCCCTGAGCTCCTGCAGCCCCTACACGTCCTCCCTGGCCATGGTGCCCCACGCCGCCCTCAGTGGGGAGCTCCCAGCCCCCGGCCTCTACATGGGCATCCACCTTTCAGTGCCCCAGGCCAGCAGCACGCTGCTCTACGGCCGCTCCCCCGGGGTAAGTCAGGGAGGGAGGGAGGGAGGGGGAGGCTGGGTGTGCTGGCTCTGCTGCCTGGGCAACATCTGGGGCTTCAGCTGGGCTTGCAGCCATAGGAAGGGCTCCCTTGCAGAGGTGGCTGGGATGGCAGCCTGGTGGTTTCAGCGTGCTCAGAGAAGCTTCTGCTGGCGCCACTGGTGTCTGTGGGAACCCATTTTGGTCTTTGTCACTGCATGGGAGGACACAGCGAGCAGGGAGCTTGCATAGAGCCAGGCTGGGCTGGTCCCAGGGTGTGCAGGGAAAGGCCTGAGGCCAGCTTTGGTGTCCTCTGCTCTGTTCCTCATGTGCCCTTTGCTTTGTGCAGGTGGCCTTTGAGTCTCACCCTCACCTGAGGGCTTCCACCCTCTCGTCTTCGCTCCCCACCATCCCCGGAGGGAAGCCGTAAGTGGCTGCACATGCTGGGGCTGCAGGGAGGGTGGGGGCAAGGGGCTGAGGTAGGTGCTGGGGGCATCTCCCTCCCAAGGGCTCACCCAGGGCAGGGCAGGGCTGAAGAGGAGCTGCTCTCCAATCCCAAGTCCAGCGCTGCCATTTCATTCCTGGCAGCTGGAGCTGGGTAATTAAACCCCTCATTAGCCAGGGCATAATGGGCACCTTCCACCTTGGCTTGGGCACCTTCCACCTTGGCTTGGGTACCTTCCACCTCGGCTTGAGTGTGGCAAACAGAGAGATCACCTCCTGCCCTTGGGCATCACACAGGGCTTGTTCAGGCCTCTCTTCTGCTCCCTTCTAGAGCCTTCTCCTTCCATGTCCTCTGATTCCAGAGGTCTGTGTTGGACCTGCATGGCACCAGCCCCTGTCCACGCAGGATTCTGCTCTGCTTCTCACTGCTCTGCTCCCTTGCAGTGCCTACTCCTTCCACGTCAGCGCCGACGGGCAGATGCAGCCGGTGCCGTTCCCCCCCGATGCCCTCATGGGCTCCGGCATCCCCCGGCACGCGCGGCAGCTGCACACCCTGAGCCACGGCGAGGTGGTCTGTGCTGTCACCATCAGCAACTCCACCAGACACGTCTACACCGGGGGCAAGGGCTGTGTCAAGGTCTGGGACGTGGGGCAGCCGGGCACCAAGACGGCCGTGGCTCAGCTGGACTGCCTGGTGAGGAGGAGGAGGAGGAAGAGGAGCAGAAATGCCTTTGGGCTGGGGCTGGGAAGGGGAATGTGCCCTGCTCCAGTGGAGGGGACAGAGGGGCCTTTCCCATCGGCAGTGGAAGAAGGAGAAGTGTCTCCTGTAAGGCCCTGTGTGCTCATCATGTCCTTGCCTTGCCCTGTTGCCTGTCACCCCTGTTCAGAACCGTGACAACTACATCCGCTCCTGCAAGCTGCTCCCCGATGGCCGCAGCCTGATCGTGGGGGGGGAGGCCAGCACCCTGTCCATCTGGGACCTGGCAGCCCCCACGCCCCGCATCAAGGCTGAGCTCACCTCCTCTGCCCCCGCCTGCTACGCCCTGGCCATCAGCCCTGATGCCAAAGTCTGCTTCTCCTGCTGCAGTGACGGCAACATCGTGGTGTGGGACCTGCAGAACCAGACGATGGTGAGGTGAGTCTGGGGCAGGCATAGGGGGAGATGCTGGCTCACAGGGAGCTGGCTGCCCTTACAGCTGTGCCCTCTTCCTCTCCATCCCCCTCTTTCCCAGGCAGTTTCAAGGCCACACGGATGGTGCCAGCTGCATTGACATCTCTAACTATGGCACCAAGCTGTGGACAGGGGGGCTGGACAACACCGTGCGCTGCTGGGACCTGCGGGAGGGCCGGCAGCTGCAGCAGCACGACTTCAGCTCCCAGGTAGGGCTGGAGCTCTCTGGCAGCAGCCTGGGGCCAGCTGGGACCTGCTGGGCCACTGTGTGAGCCTGTGTGTCCCCTCAGATCTTCTCCCTGGGCTACTGCCCCATGGGAGAGTGGCTGGCCGTGGGCATGGAGAGCAGCAACGTGGAGATCCTGCACGTCACCAAACCCGACAAGTACCAGCTGCACCTCCACGAGAGCTGTGTCCTCTCTCTCAAATTCGCCTCCTGCGGTAGGCAAGGGCCCTTTTTTTCTGCCTGGGCTGTAGATAGCCTCAGATTTATCCCTTTGATGTCTACTCCCCCATGCTCAGCTGCCCTGAATGGTGTCCCAGCTGTTGACACCCACTTTGTCTCCTGTCCCAGGGAAGTGGTTTGTGAGCACGGGCAAGGACAACCTGCTCAATGCCTGGCGGGCGCCCTATGGGGCCAGCATCTTCCAGGTGGGCTGAGGCATGTGCAGGGGGATTTTGGTGGCTCCAGGCACGAGCCCTACTCTCACCTCCTGCCCTCTCACTCACAGTCTAAGGAGTCCTCGTCAGTCCTGAGCTGTGACATCTCTGTCAACGACAAATTCATCGTTACGGGCTCTGGTGACAAGAAGGCCACAGTGTATGAGGTGGTTTACTGACTCCTGTCACCATCAGGAATGGGGACACACCTTTCCCAATGCCACCATGGCTCACAGAAGCCTCCAGTGCTGGACCTGCCCTCCTGCAGCTCTACTTTCCCTCCTCCTCCACTGCTTTCAGACACCAAACCAAGGCCTTGGCCCCATTCTCCTGCCCTGGTTCCTGCAGGAGGCTGGAGGTGAGGGCTGGGTGTAGCCTGGCATCCCCTGAGCTGGGCAAGGGCTGGGCTGGACATCCTGGGCCCTGTCTGTCCTTCAGGCCAGCTGCACAGGGAGCTGGACAAAGCTTGGGAGCGTGTGTCTCCTGAATTACTGCTACTGACTTAACAGCACCCATTTTCTGCTGCAGAAACAGCTGTAAATTATCACTAAAGAAATGTATTTAACTATGTTTTCAATCCCTTACTAATAAAAAGGAACAAAAGAAGGGCTGGGCTCATTCTGAGCAGGGGCCTTTGCCAGCCAGTGCTGCCTGCTGTGCCAAGGGCTGGGCTCTGAAAGGTCTCCTGGGGGGCTGCTCTTGGCCAGCAGCACAGGGGAGGACGCTCCCAGCGTGGCAGAGGTGTGGCTGCTGGCCTGCCATGGCAGCCCCAGCTCCAGCACCGCTCTGTGGTGCCTGTGGTGAGCTGTGGCTGGGGGCAGGAGCCCAGAGCAGCTGCCACACCGCAGCCCTTGCCAGCCCCGGGCTCCTGGGAGCAGCCCTGCTTGCCCACGGCAGTGCTGGCAGGCAGCCAGAGCGATAAGGCAGGCGCTGAGTGCTCACATCTCATTTCCTTCACAAACCACTTCCTCCAGGGCTCTCCTCTTCCCCCACACCCACGCAGCCCGAGGCTGCTCCACTGGGGCATGGCAGAGCCAGCACCACTCTGTGCCCACACTGCTGCTCCTGGCTCCTGCTCCCCGCCAGGGCCAGGGATGGGCTCTGCCCACCGAGGAGCCCCCTCAGACCCTCCTCAGCACAGGAAAGGAGCAGCAAGTTGTGACCAAAAGGGACAAGGCTGCTGCCATGGTGTCACCCTTCCCACCTGGCTCCATCCCATCCCCACAGAGCATCGAGGCTACTGCCCAGGACAAGGCACAGCTGCCTTTTTTTTTGTTTGTTTTTTATTATTAAATACACCCTGGGAGGCACAGAGAGAAGGAAGGCCAGAGCCCATCCACCCTGGCAGGCCCAGAGCCTTAAACAAATAAAACCCCCACAACAAAAAGTTAAAAAAAAAGCACCCAAACAAAACCCCTAACAATGCCAGACCTCCCCCCCATCTCCAACTCCCACAGTCTAGATTTAGAAAGAAACCCACAAAGAACAAAACAAGGAGAAAGTCCCCAGGAAATCCACCCCGAGCAGCAGCCTGCACCATGCCTGGCCACAGTCCCAGGGCCATCTCCACCCCTCTCTGCTCTCCTCCAGCTGGGATGCCACAGCCACTGGCTGCACGTTCTTTGGGAAGTCAGCAGCAGGGCAGGTAGAGTCCACCTGTCCATCCCCGTGGACAGCTGCCTGTCCTGCAGTTGGCACCTCTGGGGCTCAGTAAATGATCTCGTAAACTGTCGCTTTCTTGTCCCCTGAGCCCGTCACGATGAACTGGTCGTCCGTGGAGATGTCACAGCTGAGGACTGAGGAGGTTTCCTTCGACTGCAGAGAACAGGGATAAGCACAAAATCTGCCTCAGAGCAAGGTCCCAATCCCCACTCCTTGGGGAGGCTGCAGAGATGAGTTTACGGGTTTGGCACGTAATTAAAGCTGGGTTGTGCTGGGCAGCTCCTGGCAGCCTCAGCCCAGGAACCCCCAGGCCTGCAGGCTGCTCACCTGGAAGATGCTGGCTCCGTAGGGCGTCCGCCAGGCGTTGAGCAGGTTGTCCTTCCCTGTGCTCACAAACCACTTCCCTGTGGAGGGACAAAGCAGCCTCATGTCACCACACCAGAGCCAGCAGCAGATCCTGCACAGGCTGTGAAACACACAGAGAGAGGCAGCCACAGCTCTGCCAGCCATGAGCCAAGGGAACACAAAGAGGAGTTTGGCTCCAGCAGCCAGCACTGCTCCAAGAGGGATGGATACCCCTCCTCTGACCATCATCCACCAGGACAGGGCTGGCTACCAGAACAAATGCTTGCCCCCAGGGCAATGAGCCCTGTGACACATGGACAGAAGTAGAGGTGGCATCCATGAGGCTCCAGAGCAAGGGGGGGCCGGGAGAGGTGTGCCTACCAGAGTAGGCACTGCAAGGGAGCAGAGCAGTGAGAAGCAGAGCAGAATCCTGCGTGGACAGGGGCTGGTGCCACGCAGGTCCAACAGAGGCAGCACAGTCTGGAGTCAGAGCCATGTGCAGAACACACCCAGCGATGCCAGCTGGGCACACCACAACCCAGCTTTCCCACAGGCTGTGCTCCCCATCCCTGCTGCTCCCAGCTTTTCCACACAGCCCAAATTCACCCCCACCAGCCACCACACCCCCTCCCCCAGCCCAGCCACCACATCCCCTCCTCATCCAGCCCAGTTCCACTTACGGCTTGCCCGAGGTCCCCACTTGCATGCCGGTCACCAGCCCTGGGACGCGCATGTGGGGGTGCGGGTCGTAGCCCACCTGCAGGGGACAGCGGGTGAGAGCAGCTCACACTCTGTGACCCCTCAGCCCCACGGGGACGAGGTCACGCACCAGGGGCGAGCGCCCGTAGCCGCCGGCTCCCACGGCGGCCGCAGCCCCGTTGAGCTGCGGGGACATGAGGTGGAGGCTGGCGTAGGCGCCGCTCCCGGCCACGTCCCCGTTGACCGCAGGGTGGGCCAAGCCAAAGGCGGCCGAGTAGGGGCTCTGCACTCCCAGCGGATTCCTCAGGCCCAGGGCTGGTGGGGGAGAGGCAGAGTGAAGGGATGGGGCCCTGGAGACAGAGCTTGGAGACCCACCCAGGCCCCAGCGGGGCCAAGCTCACCCAGGGGGTCCACAGGAACCTTGGCAGCAGCTGGGCGAAACTGCTGGGCACTGCTGGAGCCTGGCAGGGTGTCACCCTGGGAAGTTGGGGTGCTGGACTTCAGGCTGGGTGTTCCTGCCTTCTCCACCTGCCAGGAACAGAATGGGGAGGTGGCAACTGCAGCACGCCTCTGCCAGGTGGTCCCTGCAGGCTCCCCCTCAATGACAGCCCAGCCCAGCCAGTGCTGAAGGGTCTGTGGGACCTCCCTGCCCCTCCAGCACTTTGCCCATGGATATGGAGGTGGGGGGACCCACGGCCACTCTGCCAGCCGAGCCCAGGCAGCAAGGACACAAGCACAGGCCCCAAGTGAGTCACACGTACCGTGGGCGCATCCTTGCTCCGAGACGGGGACGTGCTGCTGGAGGAAGCCATGGAGGTGGGACTGAGGGGCATGGCCTCCTTCCTGCCCAGTGGGACCTTCTCCACACCGTTCTCCCGGGACGAGTAGGAGTGGACGCTGTGCGGGGAAGAGGGGTCCTGGGGAGGGAGGGAAATCAGCAGGAGCAGAGCAGGGATGTCCCAGGTTATGAGGAGCTGGTGGCTCAAGAAGGGCCAGGATGCCAGCCTGGATCCTAGGGCTCACTGCTGCTGCTGGCAAGGGTCAGGGAGCACAGCTGCCACTGGCACCTCCCTGTGATGCCCACCTCTGCCTGGAGCAGCCTTTTAGTCCCACCCTTGGGGATGGACAGCACACTCTGACCCCACAGCCCTCCCAGTGTTCCAGGACACACTGATCCCAGACCCCTCCCAGTGTCCCAGCACACTGACCTCATCCACCACCAAGTTGTCCTCACTTTTGTCTGCATCGCTGCCCTGAAACGTGGAGCACGGTTGGAGCCACAGGGGCTGCAGCCCCCCTCATTCCTGCCTGCAGCTGTGCCAGAGGCACAGGCAGCTCCATTCCTCGCCCCACAGGAGAGGATGGGGTCATCCCAATCCCCCCAGCCCTGGGCTCACATAGTCTGTAACAAATTCCTTCTCCTCCACCTTCCTCTTCTTGCTGCCGCTCAGGTACTCGGCGATGGCTCGCGCGCGCTCCCCGTTCGACAGCGCCAGGGAGCTCTGGGGTGAGGGACAGTGTCAGTGCCTGGGCACGCTCTGCCCAGCTCCTGGGACAGGCAGCACCAGGACAGGGCTGCCTCCAGGAGCATGGAGTGCCCCAGCCCAGCCCTGTGTCCTGAGCACAGCCAGTGCCACCACAGAATGGTGCGAGAGAAGAAAAGGCACTTACGGGGCCGGGGTCTCGGTCTGTGGCTGTGGCAGTGCAGAGGAGCAGCAAGCAGCAGGACCAGGAGGGAAAGGGGGACACGCTGTGTCACCACCAAGAGTCCCCCAGAAAAGCCACCCACTTGACCCACAGCTGTGGGGGCGTTCACAGCAGGGCCAGACCAGCACGACAGCAGCAGGGTGGTCCCAGACCCTCCCCCACCAGCCCACTCACGCCCCTCCCATGAGGGTGCTGGTCACTGGAAGATGTTCCCACCCAAACCCCCTGCAGCTGCAAGCCCCCTGCCCCTCCAGCCCAGCTGGCAGCCCTGAGGCATTGACAAGTAGCCCTCAACCAAGCCCTGGTCCCCACCCCAGGGAAGTGCCCAGGTAAGAAGGGCATGGGGAGCAGAGGGAGCCCCAGGCCCAGCACCTCCTGTTCCCAGGTTCCCTCAGATCCCCTCAGCCACCCCAGGCTCTGACTCCCCCCACACTCACCCCTGGGCTCTGAGTCATGGACTCCTCGGTCTTCCTTGGCGAGGAGCTGGGCCTGGGCCCCCAGTGCCCCCGAGAGTGCCAGCAGCCCCGAGGCACTGCTGATGCCAGCGAGGCCAGTGGGCTGCATTCCCGAGGGGTGGGGGGTCAGCGGGATGGGGGGAGCGTGGTGCGAGAGGTGCTGGGTCTGCAGCTGGTGCTGGAGAGGAGAGGGGAGAGCAGAGTCAAAGGGCTGTGCTGGGACAGCTGCTGGGCAAGTGAGGGGCAAGAGGCAGCCCTGGGTCACTCAGCAACGGGGCCTGGGTGTGGAAGGGCAGGGCATGCACCCAGGGTGTCCCCAGTAATGTTCTGGGGGCCTCCCCATCCCTCCCACCCTGGGCTGGATGGGGGACCTGCTGCAGTCTCGAGAGAAGAGTTGAGTGTGGATGGTGGTGACCCCCCTCCACCCAGGGCACAGGGTGTCAGGACACAGTGACACACACCAACCACCACCCCCACCCCCAGCTGCATCTCCTGCACCCCGAGTCCTGCTGGCAGCCCCCAAACCAGCCTGGTTTGCTCCTCTCCCTCCCCTCGATTCAGCTGCATGAGGAGCAGGGCTGCAGCCAGGGGCAGGACGGGGCTCAGCCCAGGCATGGCAGGAGCCTGGAGGTGCCAGCATGGCAGAGTCCCTCAGCCCTGGCCCTGGAGAGGCGGGAAGTGGCGGGCAGAGGGTTGACGTACCCCGATGGCCGCGTTCAGGTCGGTCATAGTCACCTGCTTCGCTCGCTCCACAGCCTGGACCACCTGCTGCTGGTGCTGTGGGGAGAGAAGACAGGGGCTGGGGCAGGCTGGTTTCTTTCCCTGGGCTCCAGAGGAGCTCTGCACAGCTGGCTGGGCCCGAGGGCTCACCCACCTCCTGAGACAGGAACGGGATGAGCTGGGCGCAGATCACGTTGAGCCGCTTGGCGATCTCCGTCTGGCAGAGGAGGAGAGACAGAGCTGGTCAGGGCAAGGGGCAGAGCAGACCCCACACTGAGGGACCCCGAGGCTGCCAGGAGAGCCCCCTCACCATGGGTGCTTGGCCCGGGCAGTCTCTGGGTACTGACACCCAGCCCAAGGGCTGCTGCTTAGCACCACTGAGCAAAAACACCCCGGGGCAACAATTCCTGTTCACAACAACACCTCTTTCAAAACCCAGCATACTCCATCCCCACCCTGAGAGCCCTGGGACGGCTTCCAGCTCCTCCCTGCCCGGGACATGAAGCCCCCTGGCCTATGTCACCGAGGCCACCCTCAAGCAAGCCCCCAGCCCAGCAGCCAAGGCCCCTGCAGGCTCCCCCTGCCCTCCAGGCAGCCCCCTGCGGGCACCATGCCCACCCCCTGCCGCCCTCCCAGCCCAGAGGAAGCCCTGGAGAGGTGCTCTCCTTCCAGCTGCTGTTTTTCTGCAACACTCGAGTGCCACTGGCAATCAAGAGCAAGGAGTGCAGGGAGGGAGAGCAGCGTCGTGCTGTGCCGTGCTGTGTTCCCGTGGCACCCCCATGCCAGCTTCCAGGGCCCCCTGTTCCTATGGCATCCCCCTACCAGCTTCCAGAGCCCCATGGCACCCCCTGCCAGCTTCCAGAGCCCCCACCAGCCCCACCCTGCACAGACATTCAGCCATCCCTGCCCTCACAGGCAGAACCCAAAGATGCCCCAAAGGCTGTGGGGACAGGCTCCTGTCCCTGCTGATGGCCAACAGAGCAGACACTGCCCAAGAGGAGCTGGCATCAGAGAGGGGACAGAGATCAGCAGCTGTCCCTAAACCCAGCTGGGGGAGGGATCCCTCTGCTCTTGGGTGGGCAGGGCATGTCCTGGGCACAGGAGTGTGGATAAGATGCTGTCCCAAGCCCCGAGGAGCTCCCTGTCCACCCTGGTGGGGAGGACGAAAACACCGTGGAGCTGAGAGGAGGGGGTTGAACCCAGACCCCCTTATCAGCCCCCAGAGGAGACCAAAGGCTGAAGGGCCCCAGGGACAGAACTGACCCCTGGATTTCCCTGCCAGGACCTTGGGCACATCTCCCACGCCCCAGGGACAGAACTGACCCCTGGATTTCCCTGCCAGGACCTTGGGCACATCTCCCACGCCCCAGGGACAGAACTGACCCCTGGATTTCCCTGCCAGGACCTTGGGCACATCTCCCACGCCCAGCTGGTGCAGGTGCTGAAGTGCCAGGGTGAGGGGGCACGGCTGGTGTGGGGACACAGACCCAGGGACCCTCCATGCTGCCCTCCAGAGCAGCTGCCGACCTGCTCTTGCCAGCCCCAAAGCACAGAAACAATCTGGCACCTGCCCTCACTTCCCCTTCTGAGGGAGGAAAAAAGAGAAAGAAAAGAAAGGAAGAGGGGGGGAGCAAGGAGATTTGGCAGCCGGCAGTTCTGGGAAGGATTTAGCTGTCTCCCGGGGCCGGCAGTGATGGATTCTCTTCCCTAATGCACTGATGGGCAGCAGCTCCTTGGGGAGAGCTGCCTCCAATTCACTCGCACTCGTTAATGTGCAATTTACTGGCACTTTAACGCTCTCAGCATGAAAAATGATCACGCTGTTTGCAGCCCCCCCAGCCACCAGCACCGTCGCCTCCCCTCTGGCTCGCGGTGAGCAAGTCCAAGGCCAGGCAGATTCGGGGAGGTGCTTTTATAGAAAGCTGCAGGCCCCTTTCCATGCCAAAAACAAAGCAACAATAAAAAAAATTAACGTCTCCTGCTCGTTCCTGTTTTGATCCTCTCCTGCCAAGCCTGGAGAGCTGCACCAGCACAGCCAGCCCCCAGCCCCATTTCCCCCCAGACAAACCCAGAGCAGAACCCCACGCCTTGGCCTTTGGTGATGAGCGCCTGGGGACACGGGGCACAGCACAGACAGAGCCTCAGTCCGTGGCCATCTGGGGCAGCCAGGAGCGCTCAGGACCCGCCCGTGCCCGTGAGCAGAGCAGGATTTGGGGAAGGGGAGGAGGGACGGGAGCCGGTGCCCCCGGGGCAGCGCTAACCCGCGGCTCCGGTTCCCGTTCTCACACAATGGCCGCTGGCTGTCAGAGCAGACTTACGGGCCCTTGTTAAAAGTGCCGACAGCTCACTGGCCGGCGGCCAGCGGCACCTGGGGCTGGCAGAAAACACGAGCCTGACTGAGAGGGCTGGGAGAGAACCAGCAGCCCGAGGAGAGGAGCTCGCAGCGCTCCGGGGAGAGGCTCCGCGCCGGGCGCGCCTTTGGCATCTCCCTCACAGGGGCAGCTCCTCACCTGGCATCGGCAGGGATGCCGGGACAAGGAGGGCATCCCAGAGTGGCAGCACACCCTCCCAGCGGGCACAGAGCTGGCAGGAGTGGCTGACAAGCTGTCCTGAGCTGGGGACAGGGGCCAGCTCTGCCCACCCGAGCGGGCTCCCGCGCAACAGTTGGCGGCGGCGGGCGCGGGGCGGGCAGGAAGGCGGCAGCGCCTCGCCAGGCTCCTCCGCAGCCTCTTTAAAAATAGATGAGAAGAAACCTTCTGTCTCAGAGCAGCTGGTGACCCTGAGCTCGGCACAGGGGAGGAAGGGAGGGAGGGAGGGAGGGGAAGCAGCGAGGGAGAATGCGCAGCCCTGAGCCCCCGGAGAGCCCACCCTGCACCCAGCCCCCAAACCCTTCTTTCTCCTCAGAATGCTCCTCAGCCCTGGCCCCTGGGCCTGTGGGCAGCAGACACTTGTAAAGGTGTGGAGGAGAGCCCATCCTGTGGCCCTGCAGCCCCCCTTGCCCTGAGGAAGAAGCCAGTCTCCTGCACAAGAGTCACCCCCTGAGCACTCACAGCCGGTGTGAGCGGCCATGCAAGCACAAGTCCTGCACCACCGCTCTCTGCCTGACACAGCAAGAGCATCACAGCCCAGGCAGGGGCACCCTGAACCCAAAACCAGAGCACAGATGTGTGTGGGGACCTAAGGAGGCGGCCAAGGCCATGGCACAGAGCCACACAAAGCACAGGGAAGGGGACACATCCCCCAGAAACACTGAGCTTCCCGGGCTACATCAGGGAGCAGCTTCCCATGCTGCCTGTGGGGACAGCCCTGAAGAGCCCAGGTGGCAAAGTGGGGCCAGGGAGCTGGGACCAAGGAGATGGACAGAGCTCCCAGCCCACCACACTCACCTGTTTGTGCATCTCGATGTTCAGGCCATAGGACATCTCGTAGTACTGTGAGGGAGAGAAGGCAGCATCAGCACGGCTCTGGAGACCAGGGCAACTCCCAAGCAGAAAATCCTCTGTGCTGCTGGCACACCAGGTGAGCCTGGCCACAAACAGTCGTGGTGTGGCCAGGCCGTGGGGACAACACGGTCCCCAGCTCCTCTCCCAGGAGCTGTCTGGCACACAGCTGCAGCCCACAGGATGGACACAGCCATCCCAGGACTCCTGCAGGAACGGGGACAACCCACACAGGAGCAGATTTGGCACCCCAAGCTGTGGCAGAAAATCCTGCTCCAACACCACGGCTCTTTTTGGGGGAAAACCAGACAGTAACAGCCACAGGAATCAGGTCTCAGGGCCTGGCCACACAACCCAAAAGCAAGGGGAAGGCAAAGCATCCCTGCATGTCCTTTGATGGTTCAGAGGAGATCCCACACCACCCTTCTCCTTTCAGGTGGAGCTCACTAACCATGACATAATGACGCTGGATTTCTGTTTTTTCTGTTGCCAGCTTTTCACATTCTAACTTCAAGCTGTGAAAATAAAGAGGAGAGAGAGGGAGAAGGAGCAACCCCCCTTGGTCCTCCCAAGTGACAGGATGTCCCTGGCTGGACAGAGCAAGAGCCCTCCCAGTGTACCACAGGCTTCAGCCTCCTCTCAGCTTCAATCCCATCTCCCAGCACAAGCAAGAAAACCACCTGAAAGAGGGCAGGAAGGGGCTGATAAAGAGGAGGTGGACACCAAAGGGATCTGGGCATCAGGGAGCAATTTGCACGGACTCTTAACCCCCTCCCCAGCATCTGCTTCCCAAATGGAGTGAGCTGCAAAGCTTAGCTGCATTTCAAACCTTGCTCTGCCCTGCACAGTGTGGGGAAGGGGAGCTGATCCTGGACAGCAGCCTCACGGATCAGAAGGACTCCAGGTCTAAGTGATGGCTCTGGCTCAGCCCAGGAGCTGGGTGCTGGAAGCCAGCACCTCCTCCTGGGGTTTTTGGCAGGCAAAGGCCGAGTTTCCCCTCAAACAGAAACATTTCAGGCTACCAAGGTGATGCTTGGCGCAGCCATCCTCTGGAGGGACCAGTCCAGCAGCCACACTGGATGGTGCTGCCCAGTGCCAGGAGGAGCCTGCTGCTGGCCAGCACCATGAAGTGCCCAGCTCACATGCTGGCATGTGAACTCTGGCAGCTTCTCACCTGTGGTATTGGTTCTGCAGGAACTGGAATTCCTCCTTGATGCGATCCAAGGTCTCTGGGTAAGTCAGCTTGAGGGACTGGGGGGTGCTGGGGATGGCACTGGCAGCAACAGCGGCTCCCGAGGCAGCAGAGGGTGCCTGGAGATGGGCCTAGGCAGAGATGGCACCTCCAGGGTCACTGCTGCTGCCCAACAAGGCTGGCACATCCCCCAGGGCTCTCCTGCCCCCGGGGAAGAGGCTACGGGCACATCCGGGAGAGCAGCACATGCAGGAGGTTGCACAAGGAGTTAGTGGAGAGGAAACTGGTCACAACCAGGCACCAAGGGCCTCGTCAGCATCGGTTTGGCCACTGAGCCAGAAGGGATTAATGACCACGGGTGGCACTGGGCATGGCACAGACCTGGTGGCCTGTCCTCACCCAGCCGCCCCACAGCTGAGCTCCCGGCCTGCCCATCACCGTCCCACCATCACACCCCGGTGAATCCCGCTGCAGGCACCTCACAAAGCCCAGACCCGCGGCGCCGGGGCTCAGCACCGCTTTGGGAAGAGCCACGGCACCGCCGCCGAGCATCACACGCAGTACCAGCACCGGTGCCAGTCAGCACCGAGTGGGAGCCGGGCTTGGGGGCGCAGGGCCGGGGTGGCACTGCTGCGAGGGGACGGGGGCTCACCGGGGGCCGGTTCTGCGGGAACATCCTCGGCACCGGACAGGCCCGGGACCCTGCGGCCGCGCGGGCCCCGCCGCAGGCGCGGGACTGGAAACTGCTCCCAGCTCCGGATCAGGCCCTGGAGAAGAACCCGGGGGTCACCGCCCGGCGCTGCCCGGGGGCGCGGGGCCCCGGAGCCCCGGCCCCAGGGCCCCGGGGCTCCCTCCGGGCTCCGCGGACCCGCCCAGCCCCGGCCCCCCGCGCCGCGCAGACAATGGCCCCGCCGCCGCCCGCCGCAGGTACGGCCGCGGGGCGGCACCGGCCTCGCCGCCGACCCAGCCCCGAGCGGGGCCGGTACCCGGTAGGCGGACAGCGAGGCGAACCGAACCGGACCGGACCGCCGGGACGGGACGGGACGGGACGGAACAGGACGGGACTCACCGCGCTGCGGGTCCCAGACCCGGCCCCGGCCCCAGGCGCGCGCCCCTGCGGCGGGGCGGGCCGGGCCGGGCCCGGTAGAGCCGAGCCGGGCCGAGCCGAGCCGAGCCGGGCTGGGCCGGGCCGCCCCGCCCCGCCCCGCCCGCGCGGCCGCCGCTCTGCGGAGCGCGATCAATGAACGAGCGCGAGCGCCAGCTCCACGTGGGGCCTGGCCCGTGCGGGCAATCGCCCCCGCCGCCAGCCAATGGGAGCGCGCTCAGGGCGGCCGCCCCCACGTGGGTCGCGTGGAGCTGCCTTCCCATTGGCCAGCCCGGACCCGGCCGGCGAGCGGGTGTCAATCAAGGGAGGCCGAGCGGCGAACGAGGGGGCGGCGCCGCGGTTTAACCCTTGCGGGGCCGGGGACCGGAGGGGACCGAGAGGGGACCGGGGACGGGCCGCTCCCGCCGCCCCACGCGGGATCCCGGGCACTGCACGGACCCTCCCAGCCCCGCGGCGAGGATCCCCGCCTCTGGCACCGCGGTTTTGCCCGCAAAACGGAGCCGGGAGGTTGCACCGGAGCCGCTGCCCCCGCCGTCCCGGGCAGCTTTCTGGTGGTAAACACAAGAAGTCGTCGTGTCGCGTTCCGTGTCCGTCCCCCCTCTCCTCTTTGGTTTTTTTTTTTTTTTTTTTTTTGTGGGGTTTTTTTTTTTTTTTTTTTTTTTTTAATTAAGGAAACAGACGAACCCGACGCCACCCACACAGCCCTCCCCGGTCCCGCCTCACCGGGAATTCCCTGCACCGTGTGATGGTGGGAATGGCTCCTGGGCCAGGCCTGTTTCTCAGCCCCAGGAAAGGGGTCTGACAGCCCCCAGCTCCCTGCCATCACCCCACATCCCTTGGGATGGGCAGGAACTGAACTGGGAAAGGGACTCCCGTGTCCCTGTCCCAGCAGCCCTACAACAGCCCCGCATCGCCACCAGCGCTGTCACCTCCTCCCAGAGCTCCCCGTGCTGCACACAACCCACTTGGTTGTGTGGAAAATCCTCGTGGATTTTCTGGTGGTTTGACTCCTTTCAGGGAGATCGGTGGGCGCTCGGCATTTTCCGCTGCTGCAGGTCAATCCAGGCTTACACTGAGCAGGAAATAAAACATTTGAGGAGCAGCAGCTGTGAGGAGCCTCTCCCCCTCTTTAACCTTAATCCAGGAACAGGCCAGCAGCCCTTTCCTCCTCCCCACAGCCCCATCCTCGTGGTGCTGCGGGTGCCTCGGCTCACGGCACACACCGTGGCCTGCAGAGCTGGCAGGGAACGGGCTGGGAGAAGCAGAGCCCCCCCTTTGCCCGCCCAAGTGACAGGAACTTGCCTCCAGCCCCTGGAAGAGAAGAACAATAACAACCATAACCTCAGCAAAGCCACTGAGATAGAGCAGGACTGTGCGAGGGCCACCCTGTGCCTCGGCAGTGCTGGGGTGATGGGCTGTGCAGGATTTTCCAGCTTCCAGCCAGGTTCTGCTGCCTTTACTGACTCAAGGACTGCCCTCAAGGAAGCCCAGCTCGTTTAGCCCCATTTTGCCCAGTCTGTTCCCTGGCTTTTCTCAGCGGGATTTTCCCAGAGCAGCTGTGATTTCAGATGGGAGAGCTCCCATTTCTCCAGCTCTGCTGGGGGCAGACAGGGAGAGACTCCCCCACTCTGGAGCTGGGGATGCTCCTGTTCTCACTGCACCACAACCAGCGGGGTTTGTGCTCTGGAGAGAGAGGGGAGCTGCTGGGGAGAGCAGCAGAAGAGCAGTCTCCCAAGCCTTATTATATTTTAAAATGTAATAACAGCACGATGTCTATTTTCGTAGACAGAACAGATCATTTCTGGAAGAGGCCCATAAATCTCAAACAGAGGGGAAATAATTTGGCCAAGGTCATGTTAAGGCAAAATATTAAAATAGAAAAAAAATAAAAAAAGCAGTTTAGAGCTGGACTGAGGCACCATCTCTGTTCTAAACCTCCCTCCCCAGCCTGGGAATCCTGTCCCCCCTGCCCTTCTGCTTCTCAGCATGGGGTTGAGGGGGCCAAGAGAAGTGAGGGGCTGGCTGAGTGGAGAGACCAAGGGAGAAGGAGAGAGCAGGGACCCCAGCAGGGACCCCAGCAGGGGCCCTGGCAGGATCCTGGCAGGATCTGCCCCAGGGACAGCCCCTGCAGCTGCGCCGTGCTGTGCCGTGCTGGGGACGCCTCAGACACTCAGAACTGGGGACTGGGGACGGGCTGGGCTGTCCCCGCTGGCTGCAGGATGTTGGCAGGGGTGGGGAAACGCCATTCCAGCATTGATGAGGAAAATCCTGTCACTGCCACCTCTGCTGTCCCCACCAGCAGTCCCTCCGTGCCATCCCCGGTACCAGTGCCATCCATCACCAGGGCTGTGCATCCCGGCACGGGCACAGAGCCCGGGGGGAGGCTCAGCTTTGGCAGGCACGGCCTGGCTCACAGCACGGTGGGTGCCCTGCAGGCAGTGCCCAGCCAGCAGCAGCTCCCGGCGGCAGGGACAGGCCGGCACCGGGGAGATCCCCGCCGTCACCGGGGACACCTGCAGCCGCCGGGAGCCTGGCGGTGCAGCCCTGCCTCGGTAGGAGCGCGGCAGAAAAGGACCCAGAACAGCTCCCTGACCCCTCAGAGCTGCCCCTGGGCAGGAGCCAGGGCCGGTGGGGGAGAGCCAGCCACCCCGCCGGGCCCGGGCTCGGCAGCCAAGCTCTTCCCGAGAGCGCGTCCCTGGCAGCGCCGCAGCTCTGCGCGGACCCTGGCAAGCGGCAGAAAACAAAACTGCTGCTCGTACCCTCTGGCTGCTTCCCCGGGCCCGCCTGCCAGCTCCCCGCATGCCAGCGCGGCTCCAGCGGGGCCGGGGCTCCTGTCCAGCGGTGCCAACCCAAACCCCTGCTCTGCCCAGAGGCATCCCCGGCCAGCGCCAGGCGCAGGTGACCCGGGACAGGCACCAGCCAGGACAGGTTCTTTCTTGCCTGGTGCTCTGGTGACAAAGAGGCGACATTTAACAGCCTCCCCCGAGAGTGCTTTCCTCTCCCCTTTCCTCCTCCTGCGCAGATTTAATTTCTTCTATAGCTCCCTTCTTCCCTTAGCGAGATCAAAGAAATCCGTGGAAAAGGCACATTTCAGCGGAAACGTCGATTAAAGGGAGTGGGGGAGGCAGCGCTGGGGGGATCAGAGGAGGAGGAGCAGGAGAAGGAGGAGAGAGGCTGGAGGGAGCATCTGGCTCCACGCAGGATCCCGGCAGGACGGACCGGGCCGGGCAGCGAGGGCGACACCGGAGCTTGTGCGGCGGCGCTGCCGGGACCGGGACCGGGACCAGGACCGGGGGCTCCTCCGGCCGGGGCACCGGGACCTCCTCCGGCCGGGGCACCGGGGCTCGGCTCGGCGGCTCCGCCGGGCTCCTGCTGCCCCCTGCCGCCCCGGTGGGACGGGACAGTGCCCGCTCCCGGCCGGTGCCCCCGGGGCCGCTCCAAGACCCCCGCCCGGTCCCCGTCCCTTGTGTCCCCACCGCACCGAGCCCCCCCAACCCCCCCGGGCCAGCGCTGCCACCTCCGCGCGTCCTGGTCCGGCCGCCACCGCCTCCCCGACCCCGCCACGCTCAGGGGGAAAGGCCCACGCGGCGTGGGCTGCCCTCGGGCAGGGCTGCCAGCCTCCCACCCGGGGCTGCGATGGCATCGGTGTCCCCCAGCACATCCCCGAGCCGGGGCCACCTCAGGCCCCGGAGCCGCGGGCGCATCTGGCCGCAGCATCTCCCGTGGCTGCCGTCCAGGGAAGGGGATGTTTAGGGGATGAGTAACATCCTTCCTGGCAGGGCCGCTGCCCGCTCCTGGAAGCTGCTGCAGGCACAGAGAGCAGCTCGGCCCCTTCGCCCGCCTCTTGCCCCGCTCAGCCGCGGAAAGAAGCCAAGAGCGAGGAGGAGCTCGGGGATGGGGCCGGGACAATCCAAGCCCGTGGAGTCGGCACGAGTCCCAGGTGCCAGGGAGAAGGGAGGGAGGATGCTGCGTGGCACGGTTGGAAGCAGCCAGGAGGCACAGGTTGGGGGAGGCAGCTCCAGGCCCCCTCTAGAGCAGGGCTGCAAGCCAGATCCTGGCTGTGTGCTGCCAGAAGCAGCTTATTTTGGAAGGGAGGCGTGTTGGCAGAGTGCTTGGTGCGTGGAGCTGCTGACGCCGGGGAACAGGACGGCTCTCATCAGGTCCCAGCCATGCCTCGCAGGCCAACGCTGCTTGGCTTCAGCCCGCAGCAAAATCTGCCCCAGCACCAGCAGGGCTGCATCCCCAGCTCCTGAGTCACCCACTGAACACGGTGGACACTCCAGTCACGAGTCAGCACACTGCCCAGGGCCTCGACTCACCCTCAGCACCAGAGGGGCTTCCTGGGACTCGCCAAACAGGATGGACAGAGCTCTTACCAGCTCTGACCCATCCAGTGAGGTACAAGCTCAAGCCTTGAACCGAGAAAGAGGCACACAGGCCTCATCCCACCCCTGGAGCCTGCTTCCCCTCTCCTCAGCTCCCAGGAGCAGTACCAGCCTCTCGGGAGCCCATCCCAGCCTCTCTAGGGGCTCAGACCCTCCAGGCAGCAGGGTCCAGCTGGAAGCTGCAGCAGCACCGACCAGCTCTAGGATGGATCCCAAACTTCACAGCACACAGGGGACCTGCTTTGCCTTCCCCAGGTGCTCTGCTGGCACTCCTGGGGCTGAGCCAGCACAGGCAGCCCCTCGCCAGCACCCCTGTCCCTCCAGAGATGAGCCAGGGAGCACACCTGGAGCAGGCTGCTGTGCCTGGACACGGCTTGGGAGCTCCTGCAGCTTACATGTGGCTTGGCATGCCACGAGTTTGGTCAGGTCTCAGCCCATCCCGCAGCAGGGCACAGCTGTGAGCTGGGGGATGCAGCAGCCAAGCTCCCAACACGCACAGCCAGCCCTGCCCTTCGGAGCCACACACTGCAGCATTGTGGCCTGGCTGGTTTTTCCAGAGATGCATCCAAGGGGCGCAATCAGATCTCCAGGGAAGGGAGCAGGCACGTTCCTGGCTGTGCAGAGGAGCTGTCGAGGCAGTGCCAGGAACTGGGGCAGTTGCTGGGCACCGCAGCAGCCAAAGGAAAATCAAGCAGGCAGCTCCCAAACCTGGGCTGTGCCACGCTGCCCAACTCCAGGAGCTGCTGAGCCTCTGCAGAGCTTTGTTTGCAAACCCTGCGGCAGAGCTGCCCTGCCCTGGCACTTCCTCCAGCTTTGTTTTACACCAACAGATATTAAACAACCAGCCTGGAGGGCTGGGATGGGGGAAGGACCCTGCTGGGGGCGCAGGGAAGTGATTGTGGGAAGAAAAACTCTAGAGAAAAACAGAAAAGTGGCGTCAGGGAAAGGGAGTTCCCTCCACACAGGGAGGTTGTTTTTGATCAGGGCTTGTCTAGACTGGAGTCACCCACACTGCACAAGCACATCAACACCACGCAGCCAGCCCGGGGCTCCCTGCTCTTCCCAGCAGGACAGAGGAGCTGCACTCACCCAGCCTGGGCAGGAGCTGACCCTGGGACTGCCCATCCCACCTCCAAAGGGATTGGGGGACCCTCGGGCTTCCAGGGTGCTGCCTCCCAGTGTCCCTCCCTTCTTCCCAGCAGTCAGGAGGCCCTGTGCCCCCAGCCCCCCCAGCCTGGCCCTGTCACCTGTCCCCAGGGCAGCAGAGGGACACAGGTCAGCTGTTCCAAGTCTCCCAGCTCCCTCCCTGCCTTCCCTCTGCTCAGCTGCCGGGGCAGCCAAGGGAGCTGCAGGCACACAGCGTCACTTTTTCCAAGAGCCTCTCCCTGCTTTCCCTCCTCCCTCGCAGAGCAGGGCCGTGATGCTGAGGAGTGCAGGAGGCTCCTGGATCGGGGCAAAGGCAGTGCCAGGAGGGACCTGGCTGGGATGGCTCTTCTTCAGCTCAAAGCACAACCCCCGTGAGTGTGACACCTCAAAGCAAGGAGCACCCGGCTGGAGGTCCAGCCCACCTTTCCCAGTGCAACTGGGAGAATGGCTTAGCAGCCCTGACAGCCCCCACCTACACCTGAGGGGCTTCAGACACCTTTCTCTAGGAAAAGGAAACCCCCAACACTTAAGCCCATCCACTTCAAGGCCAAGAGCATCCACGAAAAAAGAGAACAGGCCTGACGCAGACATTCTTTAAGGATGATCTAATTTAAAAACAACATCGTAATGAAAATGCATGTATTTTAAAAAGAGACCCACAGCACTCCAGTGCTGGAGGCAGCCACGTGTCAGTGATGGGACTGCTCTGTACCCATTGCCCCCACTTTCCCAGGACATTTGGACAGCTCCACATCCCCATTTATTTTCCTTTACCACAGAAAATGTCTCCCTAGCCCCGCCACACACCCTAAAGCATCAGCTGAAGCTGCAGGAGGGACAAAGGCTGGAGCAGCAGCCCCTTGCCCAAGCCAGGCATGAAGCAGGCAGGGGGCAAACAGCTCTGGCTCCCAGCACTGCAGAATTGGGCACAGCCAGAGAAGAGCCTGCCCAGGCACCCTTTGCTCACAGCAGCTGCTGGCGGGCAGGACTGCTCTTAAAGGTAATCAGTGGAGCAGAGAAGAGCTCTGGATTGTTTTAATCCTTTCCAAAACACTCTAGCTAGCCCAGAAGCTGTCCTGCTCCCTCTGCGCCTGTGAGGATTTGTACTTGTATGGCTGGATAATTTGACAGGGACAACACACACTCGGCCCAGGCAACCTCAGACTTCCCAAGGAGTTTGCTCTTCGCTCAGTGTGCTTTGCCAGCCCAATAAATCCACCCCCACGTGCCACCCTCCCCTCCCTCCCTCCCTCCCTTCCTCCGCACGAAGGGCTGGGACGGCAGCCTTGGGGAGTGACTCAGACAAACAGGGGGGGAGGACACAGGGGGGGAGGACATCCCCTCCCCACGGGCAGGGCACTGGCATCACCAGGCACCGGCAGCACCACGGGCACGGGGAGCCAGGCGCCGTGGCACTGCGGGAGCAGGAACAGGCGGGGCTGCCCCACTCGTGTCAGCCAGAGGCACCAGGGCCAATGGTCAGTACAGAGCCAGCTGTCCCCGGAGCCGGGAGCACGGCGAGGGGCAGGGCTGCAGGCCGGGCTCACGGGGCACCCCGGTAGCTGTAGTGATTGTGGTCGGGGTCGCTGAGGGTGAGGGGCAGGCTGGGCTTGCGCTCCGGGTCCTTCTCCTCGCACTGCCGCGGGGGACGCTGCTTGAAGAAGTCAGAGACGTAGTGGACCTGGAAAAGAAAGTTTGGGGATGCCTGTGTCAGGCCAAGCAGGAGCCCAGGCGAGCAGCAGGCTGCAGAGGGGACACTCACAATGAGGACGGCGATGAGAGCCCCCTGCAGCAGCCCCACCAGCACGTCGCTCCAGTGGTGCTTGTAGTCGGACACCCTGGTGTAGCCCACGTAGATGGCGAAGGCGATGAGGAGGAACTGGATGGTGGGACGCAGCAGCCGGGCCCACTTCCCCACCAGGCGGGCCTGCACGTAGAGCTGGTGGCAAGGAAGGGAGGAATGAGGAGGGCAGGGCTCAGCAGCCAGCCCAGGACAGGGTGCTTGGGGCAGGGGAGCCGTGGGGGCTCTGTGGCACGGCACTCACCGCCAGGAACATCATGCAGTACATCCCAAAGGAAGAGTGTCCCGAGTAGAAGGATAGTCTGTGGGGCAAAAATAAAGGGTCAGGCCATGAGTGAGCCCCCAGCTGGTCCCCACAAGACCCCTACCCACTCCACAGGCTGTGCCCTGCAACAGGCGAGCCTCAATACCCATCTGGGGCTGCCACTGGGAGCCCAGCAGTGCTGGGCAGGTAGAAGAGACACATCCTGTGGCACATGGCTCACCTGGACTCGGTGACGTTCCTGCTCTCTCCCTGGCAGACATTCTCCAGCTGCACATAGATGGAGCAGTTCACCTTGGACCAGTCAGGGTTGCACACAGCCAGGAAGTTTGGCCGGAGACGGCCGATCATGTATTTGGCCAGGTCAGTCAGGGACTGGCTGATGGCTCCCCCGAAGAGAAAGGTCCCAACCACCTTGTAGAGGGCAGCCAGGTAATTGTTGTATTCTGACTTGGAGTAGAGACGCTCAGTGTAAACCAGGTACGCCTCCCCTGATGAGATCTGCAGAGACCAGGGGGAAGAGGTGAGGGCTGGGGGCTACTGAGCAGCTCCCCAGGGGTGCAGGATGCTCTGGCTCTGTGGCAGAGGAGCCCCTGGCACCCACAGAAGCCCACGGGCCCTCTCGCCCTCCCTGCAGGGAGCCAGTCCCATGGGATGTGGCTCTCGCCACTCCAGCCCCCAAGCAGAGCAGGGCTCAAGCTGAGGATGTTGCTGCCCTTCCAGGGCTCTGGAGGTGGCTGTGCTGGGCCCCAGCTTCCAGATACAACACGTCAGCATGACCCTGTCCTGGAGGAAAGGGGGTGGCAGCTCCTTACAATGATAACAGTGCAGCTGATGGTGACCCCGGCCATGAGGCCGTGCGTGATGGTGTCTGCCTTGTAGGGGTAGCGGATGGAGTCATCGTTGCAGTAGAAGCCTCGCTTGTAGGGGGAGTTCACCAGAGTGAGGATGATGAAGGGCAGAGACGCTGCAAGGCACAGAGAGGGTGAGGACTGGGGACAGCAGCCAGCAGGCTCCACACCAGCACACAGCACCACCCATCTCTCGCCCCTAAGTCTCTGCTCCCCGATGCCAGGGAGGGATCCCCCCAAGGGATGAAGTCCTGAGCCACCTGTACCCAGGGCAGGAGGACCTGAACCCACCAGTGCACTGCCCTGAGAGCGATAGGGCCCTATCAGAGCTCACAGATGCCTGCAGCACCCAGATACCACACGAGACAGCCACAAACGGGCACCCACTGAGCCCCTACGGCTGCCCCGCTCCTCCCAGGCACAACACTGGAAAGGCCTGAGCCTGTGCCCTCTCCTCACACTGCCCAGCCTAGGAAGACAGAGCTGATAAAATTAATGAGCACAGACGTCTTGTAAACCTGTTTTACAGCAGGGAAGGGCTCCCAGATGGTCCCAGCAGAGCCCTCACAGCAGCTCCAGCAGAGCCAGCACTGGGAGATGCTGTACATGACCCAGTCCAGGCACAACGGGACTCCAGTGCACTCGGCTTGCTCCCCTCATCCTCCCACAGCCCCTGGTAGCTTCTCCTCTCCCCCGGCTCCTGGGGGCTCTGGAGAGAGGCTGTGCTGCCTGGGCAGCCTGGACAAGGAGGCTTTTCCACGCAGCACGCTGCAGCCCCGGCCACGGGCAGCTGCGAGCTCACCCAGCACGGAACTGTCCCCGAGATCCAGAGCGGTTTTGGGGTCTCTGCGCCGCACAGCAGCCGTGCCAGCCCCCGGCTGGAATGGGGCCCCTACCCCAGCTCCATCCCTGCTCAGGAACGGCCAAGGACGGCTTCCAGGACGCTCCCCAGGGAAGCGGCCCCCCCTCCCCGGAGGCCACCTTAGGCCGGGCTCCTCTCCCAGTTCCGCCTTTCCCGGCGGTTTCCGCCTCTCCTTGTTCCTCCGTCTCCCGGGAGCCCGCACCTTTGTCCCCGCCCGTCCCCGCCCCGGGGGTCCCGCCGCCTCCTGCGCTCACCGAGCGAGCGGGAGGGAGCCCCGGGGGCTGCCCCGCCGCCCCCGCCGGGGGCAGGGAACCGGCCCCACTCCCTCCTCCGCCTCCTCCCCGCACACCTCAGACGTCCATTTTCAGCTCAAATTAGACACCAATTTTCTTTCTGGATAATTTCATCCTCCAAAAAAAGCTCACCTAAAAATATAAAGCAACCGGCCCGCGGGAGGGAAACGCGCTCCGAGCGGCACCGGGACCCGGCCTCTCCCCCCGCCCCGCAGCCGGGGAAGCTCCAGCCGCGATCCCGATCCGGGCCTTTATTTTTAGTCCGTCTTAATTCGTTACTTCCTTGCGGCAGTTTTAGAAACATTTACCCGCACTGTGGGGGCAGAAGGGGTCCCAGAAGGGGTGCTCCGAACCCACCGGCCCCGCTCCGTCCCGCGGAGCGCCGGGCTCGGCGGCGGGCAGGCGGCCAGGGCGGCGGCGGAACCGTCCCGGTGCCGCCCGAGCCGAGGGACCCTCCCGCAGCGTCCCGGCCAGCGACAGACCGGGCTCCCACCCCCCGCGGGACCGTTCCCGGAAAAGGGAACGGTCCCGAGAACCGGGACCCCCGACGGAGCCCGGGAGGGCTGGGGCAGGAGCCGGTGGCTCTCGGAGGAGGCCCGGAGCCCCGGACATCGGCCGGGCAGGTGCCGGCCACGCTGCCCCAGCCCGGCGGGATCGCGGAGCCACGGTACCTCCCGCGGAGCTGGCCCCAGCCCAGCCCCACCGGGGGCACCGGCGGCACGCGGGGACGCTCCGGAGCAGCCCGCGGCGGGGCCGCCGGTACGGAGCCCTCACCGACCGCCAGGCACAGCACGTCGAGCGCCACGAAGACCTTCCTGCGCTCCATCCCGCAGCCGGTGCGGCCCCGCGGCCCGGCCCCGCGGCTCACATGGCCCGGAACGGCGCGGGCCCGGCCGGGAGGTAAAGTCCGGGCGGGGCGGGGCGGAGCGGGGCCCGGTGCCCCCGCCCAGGGCCGGGGCGGGGCGGCAGCGGCGGGGC